CCAGAGTCTAAAGTTTGGTTGGGTAATTTATACCAATGTACTTTTAGGACTTTGCTGCACTAAAATTCATGGGTTTATCTTTTACTTGGAATGTGTACAATTTGGTAACATACAGAGTTGATCCTGTGGAAAATATTAGTTCACTGGGTTAAGTAGCTCTGTTGGCCCATTTCATTGTGTGTTATCAAAGGTTCACTTTTGTTGGTATTACCACTCATCTTAGTAGAGAGGATTCTTTTGTTTTGTTTTGAGACAGGGTTTCACTGATTTCTGGGTCTTGCTCTGTAGACCAAGCTGACCTTGAATTTAGAAATCTGCCTGCCTCTGCCTCCCAAGTGCTGGCGTTAAAGGCATGCACCACAATGCCCAACCTTCAGTAGAAAAGACTCTATGTCTTTTTTTGAGAAAAGTCAGACTTATGGTAGGAGATTCAAGTTTTCTAAAATCATAGTCTTTAATTTTATCATTTATTGTTTTATTGTTGTAACAAAGCACCAGCAATTAATTTTATTATTGCAACAAATACACCAAACTGTTTTACATGAAGTCACAAACTTCATAGATGTTTTGAGACAATTAAGTCAAATAACCAACTATGACAAACTGGAGGTTGTATGTTAACCATTTTTTTTTTATGTAAAAATAGTGTTTAAAATGAGAAACCAGTTCAACTGTAACTCAGACAATGGCAGAAGGATATTCCTTGAGATAATGCAGGGAACAACCACTTATAGGACATAGGATTTTAGTTTAGAGTGATGAAATGCTTTGGGATGGGATAAAGGCGATGGTTGCATAACACTGATGGTATTAAATGCCACTGATTTGTTTGCTTTAACATGATTAATTAACTGTTCTGTGAATTTCAGCTCAATAAACTTTGAAAAAAAGTGCTTTATACGAAATTTCCATTTCATCATACGGAAGAGCAAAAGGTTTGTCATCAGAGGCCTGGAGCCAATGAAATTAACTTTTTTTTTTTTTTAACTGCTTCATAAAGGACATTTTTAAGTGAAACTGACATATTGTTTAACGCCAGCCCGTTTTGAGAAGAACAATGGCTGTTAGAACACAGTGTACCATTGCTTTGATGGTGGCAAAGCACCAGCAATTAAACCGGAGTCCTCTTGTGCCATTGGTATAAATATCAACATGGAAAAAATATCAACATGGTAAAAAGACAAGTAATTAAGTAGTATTATTTTGAAAGGAGTTTTAACCCATATATGCCCTTGAGAATTTCAGGTAACCTGAAGAACCGGTGGACCACATTTTGAAACCCATTATTCTACACTGAATTAGGACTGAAACTGAACTGACCCACTTCAATCAGTAGGGGTACCATGTGCTGTCTGAAAAATCCTGGGAGATATTTTATACTTACTGGAAATTTTAATTTAAGCTCACACACAGTGCTCTGCTTGCCTTGTTTTAGATTCATATCACTAGATAAAATACAGAACAAAAGTAACAATTCTAATAATGGCATATACTTTATATTATTTTAAAAAATTACCACTTCCGTGATTTTGGTTAAAGTAATTATATTCTCATTAATGTCATTGTAATCTTTTCTTGAATATAGAAAGTTTCCTTTCTTGCTTGCTAAAAATAGACCCTGATATATCTCTCTCTATATATCACAACAATTAAAGAAAAAGAAACCATGAATTTGAAAGGGGGAATGGTGGTACTTGGGAGGGAGAAAAGGGAAGGGAGAAATGATGTAACTATATATAATCTCAAAAAAAAAAAAAAAACCTTTAAAGGCCCGGAAACAAACCATCATAAATGATAGTTCAATGCACTGTCAAGCTCTTGCGATGGCACTATGGTAGGAGTGACTAGACTGTAGTCCACATAACTTGACTGGGGGCTGTGTAAGATTACTTGGCTATGCATAGGAAGCCCTGACACTTTGCGGTCCGTCCTGAATTCACATCTGAAAGATTTTGAATCAGGAAACATGACTTCCTTTCAATTTCTGCCTGCTTTGGACAAGTTGTTTTCCAGCAGCTGCAAGCTTAATTACTGCATTGGTGAGCTCGATTGGCAGGTAAAGAGGATGCTCCTGAAGTTTGCGAGGATTGGAGGCTAAGCCACGAAGAGCTTCACAGAAATGAACAGATTTTTATCATTAAGCAGAAGGACCTAATGTTGGGAAGTCTACATTTTTAGGGGTTGAAGGACTTCCAGGGACACTTTGAGACTCTGGGAAGCCTCCACTCTCCTTCAGTCAGCCTTTCCATCTTGGGCTACTTCAAAGAGTCGTTAAGAAGCTGGGAGAACATTTTTCATCTTTGAATATAGCAGGGGAGACTGAAGAGAAGAGTAGCAGGAAGGGGGAGAGGAAGGCCCGGCGGGGAGAACCCCCTTATGTGAAAAATAGGGCAGTGAGAAGAGTCCTCCGGAGCTGGCTTGGTTTTCCTCCTTTCCTGTGACTCTCCCCGGGGTTTTGTCTTTGCTTGCAGGGACCTTATCTACTGGTTTAGTTTGTTTGTAAGATATAAAATGTCCTCTAATCTTGGGGCTAGAGAGAGGGCTCAGTGGTTAAGAGCACTGGCTACTCTTGCAGAGGACCTGGGTTTGGTTCCCAGTATCTACATAGTGTCTTACAAATGTTTGTAACTCCATTTCCAGGGGATCTGTTGCACTCATCTGACTTCCATGGGCACCAGACACACACGGTGCACAGACTTACATACAGGCAAAACATTCATACACATAAAATAAACAAATCTAAAACACCCTTCAAACCCATTATATCAGAGAACAGTTACACTCCTCTGTTTGATAAACACAGTAGTGACAATGACCTCATGGGTGTCAAAGAAACTGGAGCACAGGAAAAGGAAATGAGAAATAAGCGTATAGCAGTACCAGGATTCAACTTTAAATCATTACACTCAGCCTAGCTCTCTTTGGTTTGTCTTTTTAGGCCCTTGTCCTTGAAATTAGCTTTGTGGTGAGAGAGATTGACTCTAGGGCCTGGTGCATGCCAAGTGCACACTCTACATCCCCAAACCCCATGAAGTGAGTTTTCAAGGCCATGCAGCCGTTTGCGCTTTTGTATTTAGAGACAATTTACCAACATCTCTCTTATAGGTTAGTTATAGGTTATAGCAGTAGTGGGGATGAAGTGTAGTATGATGTTCACAGATGTCCCTCACAGTCAGATTACTTGTGTTCAAACCCTAACCGTCACACCTCAGGTACATCATAAGGTTGAGGTGAATCTGGTATTAGATTTACACAGAAAATGCTCACATAGTTTAATGCACACTGAAAGATTCAATGCATACTGCGAATTCACGGGTACAGGAAAATTCCTTCAAATGTTTTAAATACCGGTTGAGGATCCAGTCAAGGATTCCCTTCCTCACTCCAGATCAAAAGCAAATTGTTATTCTTGATAAAAAGAGATGAAAGTGACGCATCAACTCATTTGCTCTTTTCACGTGCATTGTGGGGACCGTGGGACTGATGGAGTGGATATCAACTTCCTACTGGTTGAGTTGTCTACCCAGGGCCACTTTATTAGCAGCTAGCTATCCATTTATTACTCTCTGTATCATGTCAACAGTGGTATACAAATGAGAGTGCAGCGTTTATTCCTATCACTACCTTTTTTTTTTTTTTTTTTTTTAGGTCCAAGAGGCACAATCACAGTTCTTCAAATTTAGCCTTGGGCTTTTCTAGTGAAGGTAAAAATTGAAACACCATCACTGCATTGAAGAGGAGGAAGATATCAGTTTCTCAGAGAGTAATGAGAAGTCTTTCCTCACTTTGGACTGTGATGTAATGCCTTCCTTGAGATTTTGTGATGTAGTGGGTAGCACAACCTAGTGAGTCATAGTATAGTTTTGGTGTTGGCTGGGTCTGGGTTTGACTTTTTAGTTAAGTTCAGCTTATTCTGGGTTTTACTTTTTTCATTTGTAAAACGGAGATAGCCTCTACTCATTAAAGTTGTGACATCCAACTAGAGAGAATATAAATACCTCTTATTCCTTAGTTAATTAGGAGATTTGTCTGGCTGTTGTGCTGCACAATTCTAGGTGCTGGAGACCTACTGACAAATAAGACAGCATCCTTCTCCCCCTAATTGTTTTTAAATTACAGTGGGACAGAGTGGCCATGATGTTGAATACAAAGAGACAAATAATTGCAGAGTGCTGTGGAAAAAAAAAAACCAATGTAACAAACAGGGATAAATTTCATTTACTTGTTTTCTGGAAAAGTCAAGGATTCATCTGAAGGAATGAGAGAAGGTGGTTCTATTAGGACCTAAGGTAGTGCTTCTCAACTCCTAACGCTGCCAACCAAAAAATTATTTTCCTTACTATTTCATAACTGTAATTTTGCTACTGTTCTGAATCATAATGTGAATATCTAGTGTGCAGAATATCTGATATGTGGCCCTTGTGAAAGGGTCGTTGGAGGCCCAAGGAGTCACAACTCACAGGTGGTGAACCGCTGACCTAAGTTATTACAGTGTTGGACTATGGGATTCTTCTGCAGGCCAGTTTGAGCAGGTTTTTTTTTTTTTTTTTTTTTTTGCTTCGCTTGAGCACTGAGATTTTTTTTTTAATTAGGAGCTGAGGTTGAGGCAGTTTGAATTTGTATGCTGAGCATAACCTGCAGCACACTATAGCTCCACGCACTGTATTGTTAGTTTTATATTGACTATACCTGCGAGGGAAATATCTCTACTGTTCTAATAGAAAGTGGAGTAAGCCAAGGTACTGTCTTGGGCTACTAAGCTAGCAAAAGAAGCCTCCTGAAAATCTTTCTAGTCCTTGTTTTTCTTTTCCTTAGTTTGTGACGGTTCATCTATTCATTTCCCAGTTTTCTATTCTTTTTTCGCCCGGCTCCTCCGGACGCTTCTGGGAAGTCACTTTCCGCCAACTTGCAGCTCCGCCCACATACTGGGGCGTGACCAGCTCTGCAGGCCCCGCCCCCGTCCATCCCGTGACAGCCAGCCCACTTCGGCCCACCCCCGACCGCCGACAGCGCGCCGAAGCGTGCGCGCGCGCCCCCGCTAGAAGCTCCGATCGGTCTCGGGAGCGCGCTCTGTGTGGCCGCTGCCGCCATGTTGTTGTGGTTGTGAGAAGGCGGCGGCGGCGGCGGCGGCGGCGGCGGCGGGAGCGGCGGCAGCGGAGTAGCCGGCGGAGACGCTCCAGCGGCCCAGGCGCTGCCCCACGCCGGCCCTGGCTGGCAGCCTCGTGGGGTGGCGGAGGAGGCCGTGCGGTGGCGGGCCTCGCCATGTCCTGCCACCTGGTAAGAAGCCCACTCCCCGACTCCGGTGGCGAGGAGGTGCTGGAGGAGGGGCGGGCCTCGGCCGGGCGCGGCGGCTGTCACAGACTGAGAAGGCGGCGGCGGGCGGGGGCCTGGGGTGGCCGCGGCCGCCCGGGGCAAGCTCGCGGAGTGGAGCGCCGAGGCCCGGCCGGGCGACGCGGGGGAGGCGGGGTCGCCTAGCTAGGCGGCCATCCTGAACCTGGCGGCCGGTAGCACTCAGAATGTGGGGCGCTACCCCTGGAGCGCCCTGGAAAATGCTTCCGGGCCCCTGGGAGGTGCATGTGTGGCCTGAGGCCCTGGCCGAGTCTCTGGGAGAGGCCGGAGGTCGTGCTGTTGGAACCCCCTGGCGAGCCGTGCGGGCCTCAGCTTGACTGCAGCAGGGCATCCTCTTGACCTGGTAGTACTTGAAGGGGCATGAAGGTTCAGGGGTGGTTGAAAGAGCTCTAGGAACTCTGGTCAAATAAATGGCTCTGCAAAAGATTAGTGTTGTTTCTTGGGTTGAAATTGTGCTGGATACATTGCATTTGAGGACCCAAGATGATATTGTTGGTTGGGGGTCAGAAAACTTATTTCAAAATTATGGAGTAGAGTTTGCGCAGTCTAGTAGGCACTCTGGAGTCTGTTCATCTCTCTTGTGAGTTTTATACGCGGGCTTCGGTTAGGTCTTGATGTTCAGTAGTCTTCAGACTGAGGTTTACATTCTTCTTGCTATCTTGACATCCACTTGGTTTTTGACATTTAGTGTTTTTTTGTATTAAAAAAGTGCAAATGCTCTTGTAGTGGAGGTTCAACTTTGTTTCTCATAATGAGAACAGTGAACCGTCAGAGGTTATGATTGAATGGTCGAAGGTGCTTCTTTATCAAAATGTTTGATTTTGTTTGTGGGGACGTGAAGAAGTCCTTTCCCTTTGAGATTCTGCGATGTTTCAGTGTGGCAAAAGACACATGCTCTTGTGTTTTTACCTGGAGACCAAATGACATGAGTTGGTGGCCAAAGAAAAACTTCCTTTCAGTGACTTGAGAGAGCAGAAGAGGTTACAGAATGACATCGTTTTGGGTAAATGCTGTACAATATATTATTAGGCTAAATTTGGAAGCTTCTAGAAGGTTAGATTGATTGCCTATGAAGACATCTTTCAGCTTCACCATTTTTACGTTTAGGTAACCCTGAGCAGTTGTGAGCAGCATAGTGGATTTGTTTACAAGGCGTTAGAACACATTTTATCAAATTAGATGCTAACTGAAGGTATGTCCAGAGATAGACTGCAGAACCTAGGGGAAAGTAGAGGAAGCGAGGCATGAAGTCTGCTTCCTGCCCACAGAGGGGTCCTAAAGGTACTTTCTAATATACCAACATTGTAGTTACTCCTAAACCATCTGACTCAGGTTTCTAGTAAAGTGGAGGGTAGGAGGGTGTGTTACAGTCATTTGAGACCAGGGTTGTGAACCTGGAAGGTGTACTGTGCATTGTGAAAAGTTCTTGAAATTTGCCCCAGGCTGTGAGGTGTGGTAAAATCAGTTTAAAAATCTGCTTACAGTCCTGGTTAATACTTTCTGTGGTAAAGTGGAATTCTGAGTTGTCAAGGGATGTATTCATACTTCAGAGGGGGTGTGTTGAGGATTGTTACAATTTTGGAAGAGGTGAAAGAAGGTGTTTTACAGTTGCATAGGGTCTTATCCTGTCATATCTTAGAGAAATATTTTTAGAGAGGTACACCCAGTTGTTCAGTAAAGACCAGAAGCCTTTTTTTTCTGATACCTCCACTGCTTAGCACAGTTCTCAGCAGAATTTTCTTTCCAGATTTTTTTTTTTAGCAAGTGAATAGTATTGGTATGAGAAAAAGCAGCATTAGTTATTAAATTACTTGGTGTCTTACATTGAAGAGTGAGTTTTCATTCTTTGCAACTTTGACTTTTCCTTAAGATAGTCTGTTTTCTGTAGACTGTGAACTCTGTTTTTGAGTCTTAATGTATTTAAAACTTTAGATGTTAACACATTTTATTGAATTTATGGGTAGTATAGACTGATGGGTGCAGACAGATCATGGATCATGATTTCATTGTTTCATTAATTGCTGTTGGGACTTCTCTGGACTTGAGTTTCCTCATCTAGATAATTTAGAGCTCATACTTAGGCTAATTTTACACATTTTAAATATATATATATATTTTTTTTTTAATATAGGAAAGTGCATCTTTTATTTGAAAGAAACAACTCAGGCTAAAATTGCCAGGAGTTTGAAACTATTGTGGGCCACATAAGCAAGTGCCCCATTAGCCAGGGCTTCATAGTAAGACCCTGTCTTACTATTATTACTATTAAAAAATGAAAACATGGCCGGGCAGTGGTGGCGCACGCCTTTAATCCCAGCACTCGGGAGGCAGAGCCAGGCGGATCTCTGTGAGTTCGAGGCCAGCCTGGTCTACAAAGCGAGTCCCAGGAAAGGCGAAAAGCTACACAGAGAAACCCTGTCTCGAAAAACCAAAAAAAAAAAAAAAATGAAAACATGGCTGGGCGGTGGTGGCGGCGGCGGCGGCGGCGGCGGCGGCGGCGGCACACACACCTTTAATCCCAGCACTTGGGAGGCAGAGGCAGGCAGATCTCGGTGAGTTCGAGTCCAGCCTGGTCTACAAAGCGAGTTCAGGACAGCTAGGACTGTTTCACAGAGAAACCCTGTCTCAAAAAATTTAAAAAAAAAGAAAAAGAAAACAGAAGCAGGAGAGATGGCTTACTGGGTAAAGACACCTACTGTCAGGCCTGACAGCCTGAGTTGATTCCCTGGACCCATGTGGTGGAAGGAGAGAACTCCAAGTTGTCTTCCAACTCCCACATGGGTGCAATGGCGCACATGAATACACACACACACACACAGAAAAAAAATTAAAAAGTAAACAAAACCCTTGCCCTAAAATCCCAGAAACAATATTCTGTCTTGGGTTTTGCTTTTAAGTTATGGATTTTATATATTTCTCAGAAGTGCTCTGGAAATTGAGTGCATATTGCAGATATGGAGAAACAACATGATTATGCTGTTGTAATTCTCTTAATGTTGAAATCAAGTCAGGTTTCACAGAGGGAACTTCATAATTTGGTATGAAGACACAATACTAAGAAAGTTTTGGGAGAAGTTTGCAATCTATATGGCTGGTTGTTTCTTACAGATTATCCAGTTGTAATTTTAGATGGCAAATTTGTTTTTAAGTTTTAGAATTTATTTGTGTGTATGAATGTGGGTGCATGCATGGCATGGTGCACATGTGTAGGTCAGAGGCCAGCTTGTAGGCATTGATTCTCTCCATTCATCGTATGGGTTCTGGGGATGGAACTCAGATTGTCAGGTTTGACTGCAAGTGCCTCTATTTCCTGAGCTATCTCTCTAGACCCTCTGTGGTGAATTTCTGTGTAATTTCATAATCAGTGAAACAACGATTTAGAATTAAGTATGAGGTCACGTCCATATTGGATTGCACTAGAGTTCCTAGTAATTCAAGATAACTACTACAGTTACTAATGTGTCATTACTATTTTTAATCTTAACTTTTGATTTTGATACTGATATGCTTTCATTTTCATTTTTGTATTGTATTTGTACTTTTAAGTTCATAATTGTATCCTATACTAAAATGAAAATTGTTTCATCGTGATAGTGCATAGACCAGTAAGTAAGTCTTGAGTCTACCTAGTGCTACTCATTAGCGCTTTTTTTCTGGCAAGCCATATAACATTCCCTCATTATTAAAGGAAGAACAGTGTCCACTTATTTTACATGTTGTGAGGGAAGATCAAGTGGAATGGCGTACGTGGAAAACAACCTAAAAATGTAATGCTGTTAGAATTCTATTCCAATAGAATTTGTTTTTAAAAATAATTTATTTACTTATATTTTATGTGCATTAGTATTTTGCCTGCATGTATTTCTGTATAAGGGTATTGGATCCCTTGGAGCTGGATGGAGTTTCACAGATAGTTGTGAGTTGCCATGTGGGTTTTGGGAATTGAACCTGGGTCCTCTGGAAGAACCCCCAGTGCTCTTAACATTTGAGCCATCTCTCCAGCCCCTAGAATTCTTTTTAAAAAGGTTTTTATGAAAGAATTGGCTTGTCTAGATGGGTGGTAGTGGCACACACCTTTAATCCCAGCTCTTGAGAGGCAGATAGGGGGATCTCTGTGAGTTTGAGGAAAGCCTGGTCTACATAGCAAGTTACAGGACAGCCAGGGCTACACAGAGAACCCTTGTCTCACTCACTCACTGCCCCCGCCCCCCTCAATAAACAAGAGTAGGCTTGTGAGCAGTGGTAAACCAGATGCATGTTGTTAAATGCAGAATTTCCTAATGCCACTGATAAGGCACCAGAAGTGGAGGAACTTTTCAGCACTCGTATCTGTTAATAGTGTTGCAGGGGCTCCAGAAGAGTGGATCTCACCTTGCAGAGTGAGCCCTGCTTGGGCCTTGCTACTGGAACTGGAGTAAAGCCCGTCAATTTCAAATGCCTATAAGGATCACACAGAATAGACTTAACTATATTTGATCTGTTTTCTTATTTTGGAGCTGTGGTGGAAAATGGTTGGAGCAAAGAGCTTAGCATAGTCTGTGTAAAGTTTTAGAACTGTGTTTTCGTTCCTTTTTTTAAATTTTTTTTATGTATGTGTGTGTATACCATGTATGTGGAGGTCAGAGAGATGTCAGATCCCCTGGAGCTGGAGAGTTACAGATGATTATGAGCCTCCATGTGACTTCTGGGAACCAAACCCAGGTCCTCTGCAATTTCTCCAGCCCCAGAACTGTGTTTTCTAAATATTGAGTGGCATATTACAAGGTAATGAAATCAGTGTGGTTATTTAAAAAAGCATTAAAAAGATAAGTTAGTACATTGTTAATGGTAAAACTGTTGGTTTGAGAACTGTTTATTATTATTATTATCTAAATTCATATTTGGTGTATTGTATATCTTTAATTCCAGCACTTTAATCCAATCCCTCT